CACAGACAGCCTCTTCCCAATATGCGTTTTTGCAATTTACATAAATGCAAAAACGCATAAAAACCGAACAAAAGAAGAAAAAAGATAAAAATTAGCATAAATTTTGTGCTTCGCGACATCATAATTCGAAAAATATTCTCTTTGTAATAATGGGTGCCGCTGTCAATCAACGGTACCATCAATTAATTATGTATTCAATTTTTGTTGTAAGCTGAACCCAGCTGGAGCGAGGCGGAGCTCCAGACGGACCAAGTGGCCGATCTTTTAGGCGAATAATAATCAGTGTCAACATTTCTACCCGACTAGGAAGAACCAATCGAGCTGCGCCTTCCGCAGCAGCAGCGAAATTATTCCTGCAGACGATCCAGGCTGTCTTAGCACTACCAAAAATTGCGACGATATTTACTGCCGGCCGAGGCTGCTCCTCGCTCATCAACAACAAAGCCAAGACCACATCCTCCACCGCTTTTTGATTGTTGCCTCCGATTTATTAAAGCATTTGGAGAGGTCATTTAAAATAACAATAGGGAACTCCAAAAGAATTTGGAACGGTTTGTTTTCACTGCACTGATTACTGAGTTGAAAGTAGGTGAAAAAGTTAACTCGCTTTCGAACACATACACAGACGACCTCTCGACAAAATGCGTCTTTGCTAGCTGTAGCAGCGCCCTAGCATTGCACAGCAAAAACTCATAAATATGTGCCCACCTCCTTTAAGATTGTTATGTGTTTTTGCATACATGAAAATGCAAAAACGCATATTGTGACAACCCATGGTGTATGTGTGTGCATGTCCGTGTGTGTGCGCGCCTGTCCGGATATTTCAATTCGGCAATTAAGCAGGTTCAGGAGATAAAATTTTGTCAGTGGATTCTCCGGCCAAATGCCACCCCACGGCCGTATTGCCAACCTTCACGCATATCTGGGCCCACGTACAAGCATGAGAAAGTTCTGGCAAGAAAATAGCTAACTCAGGAACCAAGTACGGGCTGCCTAAAAATTTTTGGCAAGAAAATTGCTAACTCGAGAACCAGAAAAGCTGGACAGCCTGTCTAAATACCACGCAGTTGCACAATTGACTTCCTGAACTTCGAGGGCTAGTATGTTACAAATTCTAGCTACTGCGATTCCAAGCGATCTTACTACAGCCGAAATACTGCAAAAACGCATGATCACACGCCCCTTCCCCCTTGGTGCGCGTTGCCAATGATTTGATTATTTCTTTTTGCGTGCTTTGTTTAAATGCACACCTTCGTTTTCCCTCTTGTTACACCTCACTACTTCAATTTCTTACTTTTCTACAGCTTCTTTCTGTTCTGACCTAACATATTTAAATAAGCTTATTTTCTAACATGACGGGCGGGAGGCTGTGCTGATGATTCTCATTCCCCCCCCCCCCCCCCCCCCCCCCCCCCCCCCTCCCC